CCCTTTCTCCCCCCGTGAGGCGGCGGGACACCCCCTTTCCCCTCACGGCCCCCATGAAGCGGCGGGACACCCCCTTTCCCCTCACGGCCCCCGTGAGGCGGTGGGACACCCGTGTCTCCTCACGGCCCCTGTGAGGCGGCGGAACACCCCCTTTCCCCTCACGGCCGCCATGAAGCGGCGGGACACCCCCTTTCCCCTCACGGCCCCCATGAAGCGGCGGGACACCCCCTTTCCCCTCACGGCCCCCGTGAGGCGGCGGGACAGCCGTATCTCCTCACGGCCCCCGCCCGCCATGTTCCCCTCAGCGCTCCGCCAGAACGTCGCCTTGGCCTCGAGCGAGCGGCCCCGCAGCCTGCAAGGTTGGGGACGGTTTTAGTACTGAACAAGAGTGGTTTCTAGGCTGTAGCATTTAAAAGGGAGTCTTTCCAGTAAAAAAAAAAAAAAATCTGAAATTCTCTTAAATCTTTAAGTGGCCAGGAACATCTCCATCTTTATGTCTGTTTCAGGGCAGGTTTACAGCACAGTTTCTTTACTACGGGTACGTGCCCAGCCTCTGAAAACGCGCCCTTGTCCTGGCCTTTTCCAGTAACTACCCTGGAAATCAAGATGTTTCAAAAGTAATTTTAAACCTGTTACAAAACCTCTTTCAAAGTCTGTAATAGATGTTAATAGGGTGGTACACATAGAGGAGACACAGCGATGAGCTTTGGCACTTTCTGAGTAATAAACAGTGACAAGTACTGTGACAGGATCATATAGCAACCTGGGTATTATATTTAAGGTGTGTTTAAGGTATTGTGTCTAAGGTCTTTGGGAGGTATCCTTTATCCCAGCCTACTTTCATTCCTCAGGTCCTTCACAACCTGTAATCGGCATTTCCACCCCCTTTGTTTCCCCTTAGTCCGTGACCAGGACAATTTCAGTGGGAGTTACTGGACAAAACACAGGCTCTTTTTCCTTACCAGGTCATTCGGTGCTGTTGAGAGATCTCCAATGGGGTTTGAAGTTGTTGACAGTCAGAAAAGAAGATCAAAGAAGGTCAGTGAAGTTTGTTTCCTTGCAAATAGCAGCACACCTACAATCACAGACTACAAAAGGGCAGAGTTTGGGGACAGGAGATTGGTTGCTCATTTTTGAGGTAGAGGACTGTTTTCTGGGTCAGAATAGTCCCGTCTAAATGAATGTTGCTCAAATCAATGTTCTTCACTTGCATTCACGCTCACTGAAGAAACAGCACCATCTGACAAAACACAGACCTCTCACAGCACCGTTACGTTACCCACAGCAAGGAGGGTCCAGCTTGCTTTACTCAGGGTTCCCAACTTCAAAAGCTGGATCAATGATGAAATATTACAGAAATGTAAGACAATGACTGTAGTCATAATAACCAGGCTGTTTTGTTGGTTAACTTTTGGATGCCACTTCACTCACCAGATGAACAGTAAAGCAAATAAATCCTTTCCCAGGCTCTTAATGCAGATATGATTTTAATTGTTCTTTCCTGCAATAATTCTAACAAGTGCTGTAGTGTAAGCCAGCAGCAAAGAGAAAACTATCTGCATTACTTACCAGATTTTATTATTAGGAGAAAAGGACTTCTGAGTGCCAAATGTCTCGCATTTTGCCACTTGAGCTTGCAATAGGCAGAATATGACAGAGCTTGTCAAGAAAAGCCTTTTCACAATACTGCTGCAAGTTAAGCCTAAAACGGCATCTGAAACAATTAGAGACTGCTAAAATTTGTCAGGGTTGGCAGACAGCACATGACTGCTTCACAAGCAACTCTGTATGCTTTGTCTTTATATTGCTCCTTTCTAATTTGTGTCTCGTTTTGTTAGTTAATGCTACTTTTAAAATGCCAGGTAGAGAATTACTGAACAACATATTATTCCTTTAAAAGGCACCCAGACCTAAAAGCAGTAAGGGAAACAAGCAGATAAAAAAGCCCTTTAACTTCTAAATGTTTCAACAATTGTCAGTCCAATTCTGTGAACTTAATAAAGGAATAAAAGAATCTTGTCACAATTTGAGTAACTCAGCTATTAAAGAAAGACTGCAAACAAACAAACAAAACTCAGACTAACTGCACAGTTTAATATTTAGGGACCCAAATGCGCCAGTATATGATCCATTTGTTCCTGCTCCTGCAGGAAATGAGATGGTCTTTTTTCTTATGTGAGGGTACTTCATTTGTGAGTTGCAGACTATGTGTGGGCCACCATTAAAGCACCCCAGATGATCTCAAAATCTTCCTCTCGTACAAGCTGTGCATCCCAACCCTCTACTCCTGTTTATTATGTATATGTGCCACATCCTGAGAGTTACATTACAATTCACACATCAAATGCATTGAGATCTCCCACTTTTTCCTCCTGCTTGGCTGAAATAACCTAGTCTTATAATACAGAGGCTTGAATAAAGTCTCAAAGGGATTTATTTTTTCTTGATAATTACCCCAGTGCTGTCTTGTCCTGTGAATGCAAAGGCTTAGTGCTCCTCAAAGATTGCTATGGCAACACATTACAATGTCTCAGAAACTAGGGTATACTTTGAAAAAAAGAGGGAATTTTAAAAAATGAGGAGACTGGCATGTATTCATGTACTCTAAATAACAGAAAAGCAAATAAATAAAAAAATTAAAAAAAACCAAGAAAGACAAAACAAAACACACGTTTCTTTTACTGAAACTAAAGGAGGACCTAGTTTACTTTTATGTACAGTTACAGTATTACAAGTTGCTGTCATGTCAGAGTGCAATGAAAACGATTAAAATCATTTGTTTCATTCACTGATAGTTTTCAGTGACCTCAGAAACTACAGTCTGCATCTTCACAGCTACTTCTTACAACGAAGTATGGCAGCGTGTATCCTGAAAAGAACCGATATCACCAACTGTTTCATTGCTCTTAAAATAAGCAAATAAATGTGTGACTAAGGACCTGGAACTAGATAACAGAATTAACAGTAAATACAAAATGACATCATCTTTCCATCCGGAAGTTTAGAGTTTTGTGGGCTGAGAAGTCTGAAGGATGCAAAACACAAAAAGGTGGAAAATAGTAATCTGCTTGTAAGTCTAGGAGTAGAAATACTTTACATCTTCCTTTGCATCTCTTCTCGTTTTTCCCTGCTGACCTGAGCACTGCTGAGAAAAGGACTTGTGACAGAGGTGAGGAATTGCAAAACATATTTCCTAGTACTTACCACCTTACCAAACACCACCTGCAAAACTCACTCTTCTGGCTGCTGACGTTAATTAATCTCCTCAGACTCAGTCTTGTCATAATTATATTCTTTTCTGTCACTCTAAAAGTTCTTAACTTAGCTTAACCCTCCCCAAATCCTTGTAATTCCTGTCCAAGCTCCCCTTTGTACAGTTGTGTAAAGAACAGGCTGTTTTCACCAGACAGCAGCTACCCAGGCCCACTTCATTATAGCTCTCTCCATTTTCAAGCACTTTCAAGGACAGCATGCTGCTTAGGAACAGCTTTGGAGGATGATGATTCATCCAGATAACAGAATTTCAACTCATTATGTGAAGTGATGCTGTACTTTTATAGCAAATATATACAATTTAAATATAGTTTACATTTTTCAGAACTTTGCTTTTATCTGTTAGAGATAGAAGCAGATTATTTTTAGACCGTTATAAAGGGACTACACTGAACTTCACTGTTTTGACTCATTTTCCATTTTTTGTTTTATATCTAAAATCCTATGAGAGCTTCTAGTAGATGCAATTTTATTCCATCTTCTGTTCTTTGCTAGCTCTTTAACAGAAAACCAGCCTCTTTTATAAAGCATTTTTCAGAAAACTCGGTTATATAAACCCTGCGATTAACTTGATAAATATCTAAAAAAAAAATTCAGCTCAAGGGAAAAACAAACCCTCAAAAGCCTTTCAACAGCTAGTTCCATATTTTTGTGATTGCAGATGTGATGGAGAATCCAGATGTCACATAAATCCTCGCTAGTATTGATTTTATTAATAATAATGAGCAAATCTTTGACAGAATAAGTTCCATTCAAATATCAGCTTTATGTAAACTATGAGGATGCGAGCCACTAAGTGCAAGGTTTTCAAACACAAGGAATAGTCAGCAAAGATCTGTATACCTGCATGAATTAGGTTTGCCACAGGGACCTGTGCATGTATTTTAACAGATAATGAGCCCTAGTACAGCTAAGGCCAAAACATGAGTACAAAGGGGATTATATAGTAGCAGGTTTGCTAACATCAGGCTTTCCTCCTGTTAGAGCAGACACATAATCCCCCCCCCCCCCCCCCCCCGAATAATCTATAATTGAGTAAATCTAATTTGTTTGACCTTGACTATTGGCTTCTGCTATTGCCAATAATCTTGAGGAGGAGCCAGAATTTTGGTGTGGTTTTTTTTTTAAATTATTATTTTGACTATGTACAAGATGTGGGCTTTCCACCTGTGGATTTTAATATTTTTAAGTGTCAGATTCAAAGTTATTTAGGAATCCATATCCATTGATTTCTATTTTAACTGGTGTCCAAGGAAGTTGCAGTGCCCAAATGCTTTTGATTCTTGTTCTAGCTCACTTCAAACATGTACAGCAACTCTTTTCCCATTTGTCTTAACTTTGCTGGAAACAGACCTCCTTCCTTGGACAAAGTGTTCACAAAACATTCCCCATATGGGCCACCGATTACTACTACTAACTCCACTGCCATTATAATGTGAATGTAAAGCAAGGCCTTTGTATGAATTTATCATGACTACAAGGCTGGAACGCATGTGTGTGGTTTACTTCTCTGTGCAATAGTTCTGAATAGGCAAGTTTCATACCCATACTCAAAGAATTCTTTGAATGAGTTTAAGATTAATGAAAACCTGTATACCTTATTGATTAGTTTGCACCTGAAATAGCACTGGTGTGGCCTCATCTTGAGTAGATGATCAGTGTAGGTCCCTTCCAACTGAAAATACTCTATTCTATTCTGTATCCTTATTTACAAATAATCCCTTGCTGAATTTATGTAGAAAGTGGGACAAAAAATTACGGAGAGTTTACATAAAGTTATAGTAGCACATACATGCAAAGCACTAGGAAGATTTGCAAAATTTTGCAATGAAGTGGAAAATACAATGTTTAAATAATAATTTAGCACTTCATATAGTTTTGTTACAGGCCATCTGCTGCTATGGCTTAGTACAGATCAAGGATTCTTTTTCTACTATTAAAGAATTATTACTTCTTTTAGTACTACAAGCCATTTGGCTAATTTTTCTTCTGCCACAATTAAGAGAGGAATGTAAAGATATCACTGAATACAACTTCTATGGAAAAATGAAGTTGCTTTATGTTTTTTTTGCTTTTTTTTTTTTTAAAGCAATGTAATTTTAGGGTTGCATTTATGCTCTCAAATTACATTGTGTAGGTATTAGTGTTACTATGTACCCTTCATAAAATCATTCTCAGGTCTCGTAATTACAGAAGGGTGCTGGGCAGAACTTACTTGCTACTCAAGCCTGTTTTCACTTTCCACACAGAAAGGGTTTTATTAATTAGAAGTGACAATATATCAAGAACATTTATCCAGAGCTTAAAAGGAAGACTCAATAGCTCCTACAAATTCACATGGTCTGTCAACCCCTATAAGTGAACATCTAGGTTTAGTTATGTAGAGTAACACATTTAATATTCTTGTAATTATCAACATTCATAGGTGATTGCAACCACTCATAGAGGAGCTCAGAAAGCCCTGAGTGGCTGAACATCTTCAGATGACAGCAAAAACAGAAAGGAACACTTGGAAGAAGTTTCAGAACTGTCATACAAGATTTTGCAGAGCCTATGATTTTCTTCTTTTTAATTCCTACCAACTGGGAAAAAATAGTAGATGGTTATGTTTTTCAGTGTTGTACCTTCCCAAACATTTTTGTAAGATGGACTGCTATTGTAGAGTATGCTCAGATTTTTTTTTGAAAGGTGAATGCAGTTCTTAAGCCGGATGACACCGATATAACAAAGTGACTGTGTGTCTAGACAGCACCCCAATTTTCCATTTGTCTTCCATTCTCTTAATGGCATCCTTCCTCTACCTCTCCTCACAACTCCATATCAAAAGTTTATTGTGGTGGCTAAGAGGAGAAAAAAAAAGGTAATCTCTTCGTCATGTGGCTGTGCAATAAAGAGATTTGACACAAGTAACATTATAGTATTTATGACTTTGATGCAAGCCAGCAAATTTTTTAGAAGCAAAGAGCATTCCAGTTCGAGAGGCTGGATTTTTATTTTCACGACTCAACATCTCCTATAAATCTAGAGCAAACAAAAGCATCAGAAACAGTTGCATGAATTCTCCTGTCAAGCCAAGCAGCTAAAATCCTGAGGAAATCAAGCTAGTAGAGCAAAAGTCAAGAGCAGAGACAGATTTTATTCTGTATGCCTAGCCAGTTCATTCTAGGCTTCTTTCAGCATTGTTATTTTAGTCTGACCCCCCCCCAACCAACCCATCTTTTAAGGGCCATTAACTGGCTCTTTTCTAGTTGCTAGGTTTTTAGATCTCTGCAAAATCCCTTGTAAGTTCTGGGGGTTTGAAGTGACTGGACAACTATCTCCTAAACAGGACAGCGGTAAACCTAAAAACGTAAGTCACAGCCCTGTGCTGTTTCCTGTCAGTACCCTGCGTTCCTTCACAGTGTGAAGAAACTAGAGAGCTCTACTAAAAAAATTTTTTTTTTTTAATCACATAGTCCTTTTCACCCTTCCTGTGAGAGCTTGTTTCCCCTGAGCCTTAGATTACTGGCTTGAAAGCAAATTAGTAGAGTATCTAAAGCTTTGGTAGCTAACTTGAGTCATCAACTCATACATGAAACAAAAAGGCTAATTACTGCCAAAATATAAACATACTTATTTACAGCAGACCTAAATAGATAATATCTTATCCAGTTCTCAAGTATTCTTGCTCTACACTGTCAATAAACATGCCCTCTACCTGTGACATTCATCCTGAAAAATTTGATGACAACACTTTGACTAGTCTTGTGCTTGTCTGTAACTCGGCAGCGTTATGGGCAGAGGAAACTCATATCATGACAAGATTTTTTATGATTATGAGCAGTAGCTCAGCAATGGAATTTTCCTTTATGGGCCTGTTCCAAGAACTGTCAAAAAAATCTTCCAGTTCAAGCAGGACAGTTTTGATCACCCCCTTAAGTGGTTTAAAGAGTCCAATTTCTTTGTCAAGGTTCTCAGAGAAAGAAGGCAATTTCTCACGGCACACAATATTAGTCCCCAACCTATCAGTCACTGTTATGAGACAAGCCTTGAGAGTCTGATGGCTGAGGTCTATTAACTGCTCACAAGATTGATAACAGGGTAAGTTGCAAAGGAAACGTTAGATTTCCAATCAGTTTGACAATCTTTTAAACTTCTTGCAATACCATAGTAGAATAGATGCTGCCTGATACACACGGATATTTAATCAGAAATTATTTTTCATTTATGATTCCATAAACAAAGAGAAAGGTAACTGCATCTGCACAATCCAGGAAGCTGAAGCCTTTCCCTTTCAATTCCCACTTAGTCTCAGCTCGGGAATTTCTCTTCTGCTTAATCAGGAAATTAGTGTAAAATAGCAGACTATGTAGTTACTACAGACTGTGCAGCCATTATACATCTATAATTTTTAAGTAACAGTGTTAACTTTTTTATTTTTAGGGTAAGCTAGTACTACTCTAGAGCAATACCATCCAGTCTTTTCATCTCCTAGATGAAATTATTTCAAAGATTTGTTACATATTCTTGATATATAAGAAAATGCAAACCAAATATACCAGGGAGGAGTTGTGCAGTCTTGTGCCAAATCCCTATTTTTCAGTTGTCCTCATATCAGACTTTAGAAATTGACAGTGCCTCAACTCTTCCAAAGAAAAAACTAGGTGGAACTGGAGGTTGTCTAGCTGCTGAGAAAGCCGTCAGCCTTCTGTTCCCAGAATGACGAGGAGCAACAGAAAAAAGCAGTTCTCTCTGAAGCAGATTTTTGCCTACATAGAGAAGTGGCAGGAATTCTGATGCGCTTTTAAGTCTAACCAGTTCTGGCTAAGCAGCACATGGTCACACAGGTGGTCGCTGACTGTGCCCATCATCTCAGCTTTTTTCCTGTTCCAAATGAATACTCCACACTATTTCATTCACACTGCTTGTGCCCACATAACCATGCTCTGATCTTTACAGTGGTTTACTGCAGCTTTGCTTACATCTCTTTCCAAGTAATTAATTTTGCATTCATCTAATGAGTCCCTCAGAGTTAATTTCACTACAGTGTAAGTCAACTCCCATACCGTAACTGCACAGCTTGCAGGTTTAGACAGAACTCTTCAACTGCATGATGCTGTAGATCTCAGAGATAATTCTTAAAATGTGCTGTTAATAAACAAACATGAGAACTACTTTGATGTGTATTATTTATAATACATAAGCAAACCTGGAATCAAAGATCAGAACTCAATGAGCCAGGCATCATGTACTTAGTATCGCTTACCTTTCAGAGCGGATTTTCCTTTTTCATTGCAACCCTGGAAGCATAAGACATTCAAATCCTAGTAACAAAATTAATCTACTTAAATATTTTGACATATCAGAAGTTCTTAATATCTGACCAATGTTAATCAAGAGTCTTGGAAAGTCCATTAGGACTTAAAGTCAGCTCTTTCACAAAACGGGGAAAAAAGGCAACACTCAGTTCTGAATGGTGGAAGCACTAGCAACAGAATGCTCATACTATTTTCCCCCAAAATATGATCTGGTTTCTCTAAGGGTGGAAAGTTTGTTCACCAATGCTTTTCTGCAATACTTCAATGTGCATATGAAAGTTTTAAATCTGACATGCTACTTCAAAAGACCTAAGGAATGATGGTCCATTTTATACTGGAATAACTACATATACTTTTGTATTCATAATTAGTCCTGGGTTACATTTTAGATGTAAATTAAAAGGTGTAGTCATACAGGGCCCAGATTTCTGGAATCTGTGACATTTTAGTCTTTCCCTGCATTGATGGATATAAATTTTTGAAACACTATTGCCCACCACCATTGTAGCCTCCTAAGAATAGTTACGTACTTCTACAATGGTAGAGATCTGAAAATAATATATGTAATATAGTTACTCTACTTCTGCCCAACTCGTGTATTCTTTTTGTACTTAAGTCTCCATGTTTGTTCTGTTTGCAATGTGTATTCTGCCCTCTTTCATTTCAGTCTTTTATATTTCTCCCTCAAAATATCCTTCTAGTATATTTATACCCCATTTCTCTTTTTCATTTATTGAGTCTCTCCACCCCCTCAATCCTGTGACAGTATCTTTGAGTTTGCCCATCACTGATCTGATAAACTGAGACTAAATAGCAATTAAGATACAACTGCAAAAATTCTCACTGCATCAAGGTTATGGAGTATTTAAAAAAAAAAATTATCTGGGCCAAGTGCTTCAATTTATGTAATCTGCTTTTCTTAATTTTCTTTGCATATTCATAAGAGCATACACTAGAAATTACCAGATGGATAAATTCAGATTTAAAGAGAACAGGAAGGAACACCAAACATTTCACTAGAATGTTGCCATTTTATCACAACATTAAAAGAAACAGTATTAAGCATATCCCAGATGTGCTATAAAAGATTTTTTTTTTTTTTTTTAAATCTTGGACACTGTACTTGTTATACAGATACCATGACTAAAATTAATCACAAGCTCATACAACCTTAATTATTCATAGGTATGTTCTGTTCTAAAGGAATCTTCCTATATTCTTCAGCATATTTGATGGACAAGCAGAGTTCTGTAGCACTAAAAACCCTTGCAATGATTCATGTCAGCAAAGTTTTTTTTTAATCTCACACTATAATCTGTCCTTGCATTGTATATTCCAACAATTTTCAGAGGTGTGCATAGAAAAAAGGGTACATATAAAGCAAATTCTTCTATAAAACCTAAAAGTATTTTTTCTTTCTTTAATGAAAAACTCTGTAGTATTGACTTAAGATAATTGTATTCAACTATCTTCTTCCTTACAACAAGTATGGCAAAATTAGCTGGCCATATTCTCCCTTTCTATCTTTAGTCTCCCTTCCAAAGAGTCTTCCTGAACTGAAAGATAAAAGATGTTCCCACAAACAAAACCATAAAGACGCCTAAAAACATGAACAGAGCAGTTTAAATTAGAAGTAACTGCCAGATGGTTTTGATCACGGTAGTCTATTCCAGTGCCACAAGCCATTTTAATGAATGTATGATTAACGAGAAAACTGCCGACTGTCCGATTTCTTGCTAATGTGTTTGAAGATTTTAGCTTTGTGGACGTTCTTCGATTTCTGGTAACCAAATCCCCCACCTCCACCTCTTTTCTGTAGTCTTCTGCCATGGTTGCTGTTCACATCTGGAATTTTATTGGTTAAAGAACTTAAAAAGGAATACTTTGAAATGTTGCTTTTTAGGTATTGTAAGGGTTATTAATGTGAGAAGAAATAGCAGCATTATACAAAAAGCTCAGTTGCATAACTACAGACAAAACTAGAACTTTGTGCCTATGGTTCTAAATAATGCTCTTCTTCCTCCAGTTGTCCAACTAAGTTGGCCAAAGTACTACTGCTTCAAATTCCATCCACTGGCAAGTTTGACAGTAATCTAGACAGAGCCTTCTATTTCACGCTCTTCCACCTCTATTTCAATATTCCATGATTATTAAACTTACGCACTTACCTTTCAATGAAAATAATTTTGCATGGAGAACAGCACTCTAGAACACGTATGCATTCCAGCATCTGCTACCCCACAGCAACTGAAGCATGTACAGCATGCACATACATTAAACTATAGATGTTTGTAGGCAATTTTTGCAGTTTTAGTATTTGCTATTTAACATTTTCTTTGATAACCTGTTGCTGGAGCATGATGCATTTATGTGATTAATAGCAAAAAATAATAATAATCAGAATTTGAAGTAGCATAGGAACTTCAGTAAGTTGCATTTAACATTTATAACACAGAAATTCAGCTTTGAAATACTGCAGTAAAAGGATACTGAGGTCAACAAAGGGAGGAATTTTAAAACCAAATGAAAGGCTGACTTTGGGAAGATCCAAGTTATTGACATTATAGATCTGCTTCAGAGAATGGGAATCATAAGCTCTAATGTAGGCTTTGTATGCTTCCTGGGCTGACTTGTGAAGGAAGTAGTTCTTCTCAATCAGTTTTTCCAGCTGTTGGAAGAAAAAAAAAAACCAACAAACGAATGACAAAACAAGACACACATCCAATTATAGCTGTAAGAACTGTATAAATTATATTCAAGTAGATTATTTACTGTGTGAGTTGTAGTGACATTCACTATTCACTTCAGCAAAATTGCCCTGTGACAGTAGAGTGCACATACATATATTAGAGTGCTTTTACAAACAAATAGAGGGACAAAAAAGCCTGAAGCTGAATTACAGTACAAAGCCACAGCAATATGAAAATTTACAGAAATATTAAATTGGGTTGTCCCAATCAAGAAGGAGTATACAACTGCAGCCACACCATGAAACTATGTGTATTGAGAATTAATGGACAACAACAGTATACTTTTAAGGCAGACATCTAAACTGTACCATTCCATGTAATTCTATACATAGTCTTATCTATTGTGGTGCAAATGCATTGTAAAATAAGCAGGATTAATTCTAAGACAAAAATACATATGCACTACTGTAGACTGAGACATTTTACAGCTACCAAAACTCCATTTGCTATGCCAGACAAGAACATTCTGTTCAAAAACTGAAAGCAGGGTTACATCACTGTGGTTTTGCAATGTAATGCGAAAAAACAATTCTTACAAGCAAATTCATACCATATCATGTTGACAATTTAGTACTAGATATTAAAATTCTTCTTTAATTTCTAAACTTTTTATCATTTTACTGTCATCAAAGGACTACATGGCAGGAGGATTTACTGCACAGTACTCACCTACCGGAACTTTTCCAAACAAGCACACACATTTTTAAACTGCAGTTGTTATAGACCAACAGTCTCCATGTAAATTATTATATAGATATTCACAGTAGCTGTAGTATGAAGTCATTTCATACCTGAGACTGGATGTCTGAAATTTTTGACCAGGAAAATTCAAATTCACTTAGTGGTACCTTAAAAAAAAAAAAAAAAGAAAGAAAATATCAAAATTACTTATACTGTGTAAATAACAAATGTGTTTAAGACCTAAGACAAATAGAAGATGACCCACTAGATAACAGAAGATTCCTTTTTTAATATCACAGCTGTATCTGTAAAGTGCCTTTACAGCAATATGCCAGTATCATCACTTCCTTAAGCTAGAGTAATTAAGATGCCAGTATGACACTTTTACTACTTTAGCTTTTGCTTTAGAAGCTATACCACTTTTGTTACAAGTGGCAAAACTCTGTAAACAAGCCCATTAAGAGAGCAACCAAGAAACTACATGCAGTTATATCATAGTAAAATGATTATATTTAGAAGGTGGCTACACTACTTTTGGAATTGAACAAAATGCAATTGAATCTTTGAAAAGAAAAAATAAAAACTGCAGAAGCAGCATCTGGGTTTTAATTTCCTCTGGATGGTCAAACTCCCAGTATCCTTCCACAGAAAGCTCACAGGAAATTTATTTATTTTTTAGTAACACAAGTTGCACAGTTGCAAAGCAACTATAAATACACTCAATATTGACTTTTATGCTGCTGACTTCAAAGTCAGGTGTTCAGTTAAGTATCTTCTAAGCAACAGAATGCTTCTTGCTTAAAAAACTAAAATGTTTGATTAATCATTACAGTTTTTGCCTTTAAAAACCTATTGCACAGTAAAAATAATAATAAAAAAATAAATCCAGACATAAGTTTACCCTGGCTTGTTTTAGGTAACGAAGAAAGCCCAGTTCTTCTGGTCGTAAAATGAGCAGAGCATGTCCTCTACCATTTATGCCTCTGGCAGTTCTACCGACACGATGAATATATTCCTTTTAGAAAGAATAAGAAACAGCAAGTCCAATTAGTCTTTCAAATATGTAATAATCAAGCAGCTTCACCCCCCCCTTCCCCCAATTTAACATTAATATGGTGTAATGCATCATCCATTATTATTTAAGACTTTTTCTTAGTACTGACACACGGATGAGGGAAACCAAGTGCGGACGATGCAAAGCGTAATTAGGCTGAGACAGAACACCTGGCTAAAAGTATTTTACCTTTTACTGAAGAAAAAAAAACATAGTCTACTGTAACTGAAAATTAAACTTTGCTTTTGGTATATTTGCTGTGTATATTTGTCAAAACTTCTGAGTTTTTTGAGTTTTGCTTGTTTACACTGGACGTTTATTCAAATACGAATACTGACATTTAAGTAAAAATAAAATTTCCACTGGAAAACCTGTTAGGGATTCAGGAGTGCATATATAAACTCATACTCCTCCTGAAAAGTGTTCTGTTGTTCAGCTGATAAGATTTTAAATTAATTTAACAGCACAAAGAATAATGTTTTAAAAAGCAACTCTTAAAACGAAGGTCTCAGCTAGGTGCAGCATTTCCTAGGAGCTGGTGAAAGGAAGTGGAAGCAATCAGTTGCTAGATATGAACATGGCTGAATCTTGACCTCTGTCAAGCAGCAGCTTCAGCTTTTCTGTGCAAGCTTGTTTGCTAGGATTTAGTTTGTTGCTGTGAAGTTTCTCTATTTCTTTAACTTACTTTTGGATCATCTGGAGGGTCATACTGGACAATCCAGTCAACTTCAGGAATATCCAATCCTCTGGCAGCTACATCAGTGCACAACAGTATTCCAGATTCTGCATTACAGAACTGGAAAAATGTTGTAGTACGTTTGGTTTGTTTCTGCTTGCCCTAAAAGGAAACAAACACATTAAGGATCAAATACCAACTAACAACAACAACAAATCTGCCAACTTGTAAGCTTAAATCTATTACCCAATTCACGTATTATATATCACTGCAGAAAATATAAACTAGTTTGGGGCATCTTTCCATATCATGGACTACATGAAGTGGTATCTCTCTGAGGTTACACTCTATCTTCCAAAGCATTAAAAATTTGGTTGCGTGAGTATTCTTTTCAGGGGGACTGCATAAATGCCTGAAGTTCAGAAAAAGGACATTTGCAAGTCTAGCAACATGTCAGATAGATTACAGGTTAAAAAAACCAACCAACCAAAACCCATACTTGTAACAGTTCTATTGAAGTATAGCAAGAAAATACCCAAAAGAACAAAATAATAATTAAAAAAAAAAAAAAAAAAAAAAGACATTTGTGGTCAGTTACAACTGTTTCATAAACGTTCAGTCAATTCTTTCTCCTAAACTATGCATTTATGGTTTTGACAAAAAATTTAAAACACTCATCCAAATGGCGAGAATTGGAGTAGTACAACCAAACATCACCCTGGCCTTAAAAAAAGCACCCAATGTGTCAGGGATCAGTGTTTGGATTCCTCTGACAATAGCTTTGCTCCACAAATTGAGTTTTAATGCTTGTGAAAGGCAACCCCCTTGGAAGAAAACAAAAAGCTTTCTACACACAGAGCATTAATTAGTATCAGAGTTCAGCCCTGGCTTGGAAAATAGCAAGATTAACAATATTGAAGTGTTGTTATTACATAGTCTTTGCTTTATCTCTTTCTTCTACAGACTAATCAAGATCATCACCAGTTTTGTGATGAGCAGGGTGTCTGTTTATTAGAAACTGGACTGAAATAAACAAGGCAAATGTGAGGTCAGTAACAACTTAGAGGTACTATCAGATTAATTAAAAATAAATTAATGAATAAAATACTTACGTGAATGGCCAAAACAGGCAGATCAATATAGTTGAGTAATTCATAATGGTACTTCACTGACATACATGAAGAAAAAAATACCATTAGTTTCTTCTTCCGGTTCTTCTTGAGGAATGTGAAGAGCAAAAGGAATCTTTTTTCTGATGGACACACTACATACCCCTGGAAAATTTTTAAATATTGTTAAATAAAGTAGTATGGAACAAACTTTTGTTTCAGCAATACAATTAAATCAGGGAAGCATTATGTTGTGAAACAAATATGCCAAATAGTTACCTTTTCCAGGTGTATTGGGCCAAACCATTTGATTTAGTGTCTATCCCTCACCTTGGTATATGAAACTCCTAAAGATGATGAGCTTCCCCTGTACTCGGCACTGGTGAGGACGCACCTCGAGTACTGTGTTCAGTTTTGGGCCCCTCACTACAAGAAGACATCGAGGTGCTGGAGTGCGTCCAGAGAAGGACAACCAAGCTGGTGAGGGGCCTGGAGCAGAAGTCTTATGGGGAGCGGCTGAGGGAGCTGGGGCTGTTTAGCCTGGAGAAGAGGAGGCTGAGGGGACACCTTATCGCCCTCTACAACTACCTGAAGGGGGGTTGTAGCGAGGTGGGTGCTGGTCTCTTCTGTCAGGTGGCTGGGGATAGGATGAGAGGAAATGGCCTCAAGTTGAGGCAAGGGAGATTTAGGTTAGATATTAGGACAAATTTTTTTACTGAGAGGGTTGTCAGACATTGGAATAGGCTGCCCAGGGAAGTGGTTGAGTCACCATCCCTGGAGGTATTCAAAAAGCGAGTAGATGGGGTACTTCAGGACATGGTTTAGTGGGCATGGTTAATGGTTGGACTCGATCTTGAAGGTCTTTTCCAACCTAAATGATTCTATGATTCTAACTTGGCAACAAACTTACTATACTAACTTGAAATACGAAGAAGTAATTTTTAATTAATTCTTCAAACTAATTTAAGTTCAGTGAAAAGTAAATACTTTATACAATAAAAATTCATTTCAGTAACTCTGAATTACTGACATTAGGCATGAAAAAACTGCATAGGGTTCTTAGCATTTTTTATTATTTCAAGAATTTTATTTTATGGAATTCTTGCTACTGGTTTACTCTTTTAAGGTAATACACAGCTACTAGTAATTTTATAACAACACTAATCATGCCAACTGCACAAACACAGAAACTGCTGTGCAACTCCAGTTAGCTATTATATGAAGCAGCAACAATGAAATATATCTGAAGTACATATATGTCTAGTCAGTAACGTGGAAAATAGACAACTGGAGCTTACGTATGTAACATAGATAGGAATAGACAAGTGTAAGTAACTATATTACTATTTCATGAGGTTTTATATCATCTGTCCTGCAAACATTGACTACATGCGTATAACTTCCTATAGTTAGCAGACCATATAAAGCACTTTAGGCAACTGATAGCTTTTGCCCATTAGGATGGTAAACACCATTTAAGACAGTGTTTGTACAACCCAGTTAAAAACACATAGGCTTTGATATGTTCACAGATCATGCCCCTTTTAATAACATCTGTGTTTTACCTGTTCAAGACCATCTACTGTTGCTGTCTCCTTGTTATCATCAACCCCAACATATAGTGGCTCTTTCTTCAGAGATATCTTTGCCAGATCTTCAACCTTTCTGGTTTGTGTAGCAGAAAAAAGCATCGTCTGTCTGCGCTCTGAAAAAATATTTGGAAAGACAGCCTCATTTTTTAAAGGAGAATTCAAATAGCAAGTCCATAAAATCTCTAGCTGCAAACTTCCCTGAGCAAGTCTTCTATTTTTTTAAATTAAATTCTAATTCAAACATACTGCTGCTGACAAACAAAAAGAGGTGCAATTGTATTATGGATTGTACAGGATGCTTACTTAGGCTGCCCCCACCCCCAAAATCCTATCAAAACACTATATTCTTTCTCTCTGGGAAAATGTTAATAATCATTTGCACTCCAGTTTAGACACAAAACAATTATTTAAATGGAGACCAACTTTGTAATTCTAACTATAAATTGATTTCATTTGCATGAATAGTAAAATGTTTTTTTAAAAAAAAATTGTGCTAGAGATTGCGCAAGAAAAAATTACAAAAACTAAAGAGCATTGTAAATGTTTGTCTTGCATAGTCAGTCTAGAACATACACAAATGTGCATGTTATTTAGTCACGTGGCAGTATGTCTGTACTGAGCCTCAGTGACTTCCATGGTCTTAGAGCAGGTGTAGGAAATCTCTTGCCTATCACCTCTCAGCTCAAAAATATATCCTCATCCTGTAACATTTTCTTGTTACACGAGTACGTGGAAAATGCATACTTAGGCTGTTCCATTTCACAACTGCAAGAACAGTAGCAGTTGTTCTTGCTGAAGAACTGGTGCCACCATTTTTGAATTTTATTTTTTGTCTATTTTGAAGTGTCTGTTTTAAAATATAATTTCTTTCCTAATGGGATAAAACCAAATTGAACTCATGCAAAGTAAAAATTTCTTTTATCTATCATTTTCCACTTCACAAAAAACATGTAATTTTCCTAGTCTTCCTTCTCTTTCCATTTTTAGCACTGTTCACTAATATTCTTCACAGGATGTTATTTATTAGATTTATGTATCTGCATTTTAAACACGCAGATCTGAATGTCAATATTTAAAATGTGGAACCTCAAAATATTTATCACCGATTTTTTTATATACTATTTCCATGGGGGAGCTTTTCTACATTTTGAAAGTTAAAGGGAGAGCCTTGTTAACTCTGAGAATGTATTTAACACATCAATTATGAAGAATAGCTAAGTGAAAAGTGAGGGAAAGAAAATGTTAAGGTAAACAAACTTCCTTAAGATACTGTTCTCTGAGGCATGAAGAAAATTCAAACTGCAAGTCAGAAGACCTTTTTCTTTATATTTAAGCCTTATTGGGAAATAATGAATTGCAGGAAATAAATGGGCAGAGGAAGATGAATGAGAGAACGTAGACGTTAAACTAAAAGGATCTTATACGAACAGAATTATAGCCCTAAAGTGCATATGAAAACTCTGTCCTTCATATAAATGATGTTAAAGTAATATATACTAGCTATCAGGAAAAAAGAACAGAGTAAGACAATCACTCTGAAGTGCATTTACAGAACTATAAAAATTAATGACTTCTCTTATAATAATTGAGTCATAAAGAAGACATAATGTTAGTCAAGTGATTTCGAGGAAAGACAGATTTTTTTTCTTTCCTTACTTGGTAGAAGTTTTATGATCTGTTTCATTTCTTCTTCAAATCCAACCTCCAAGATACGATCCGCCTCATCAATTACCAAACACTGCAAGTTCTTATACATGAAACCTGGAGTGTTCTAGAAGATTAACAAATTCAGAGTCAGACAGGGACAGGAGTTTTATTATGTTTCAGTAACACAGATTAGGCATCAATATTTTATCTACCTGCATATGATCAAGCAGTCTTCCTGGTGTTGCTACAATGATGTTGATTCCATTTCCAAGTTTCTGTGCTTCTGCTGATCTGTTACTACCCCCCATTATCAGACCATAGGTGTGAACATGATGATTCATAAGTTCTTTAAGAACTCCGTAGGTTTGCATAGCAAGCTCTCGAGTAGGAGAAAGAATAATAACACCCGTTCCTAAAAAACACACCAATCAGACAAGACTAAGTTAAAACTCATCCAATCCCTCTCCTTGCCACATCCCTCAATGGCTGCACCATAGTAAAATTAAACTGTGAAACGAAGACCCTTACCATTTCTAGGCATGAATTTTAGCTTGTAGATGAGCTCTACTGCAGGAATAAGAAACGCAAGTGTTTTGCCACTGCCTGTTTTTGCGGCTGCTAAAATATCCCTGTATGCAGTGGTTAGAAAAAGAAGTATTTAGTTGATCGTACAGAAAAAAGAACAATCCTATTTTGTACAATGTTGACAACATAAAAACATAACATGGCTTAAAAGAAACCAGTAGAGTTAGTATTAAGAGCTTGGTGGCAGATGTGGTCCACAGCAATGTGTCACTATGTCTCTAGTGACAGATGTGAGACAGTGTCTTTGAAACACACTGACAAGAAGACCAGCGAAAACACACTCCCCTGCTTTCAAAGCTGAATGCAAAGCAGGTTCCATGAGCTTACCCTAATATTTGTTCACAGGCAACACAGACATACTTTGTTAACTTGTATTAATGTCTATAAACAAAATATGTAAAACATATGAGAACACATTTAAAAAAAAAAGTTTAGCTGCAGAAAATCACATTTCATGTATTTAGCTTGCTAGCAAAATTTACACAACATTTGAGGTCAATACAGTAACTAAAAAGACTGATTTCTTACCTGCCTTCCAAAAGCGGCTTAATACTTTTATGCTGAATTTCGGTCATGTGCGTAAAACCCATGTCATTTATGCCTTTCAATGTATTCTCACTGACAACACCAGCCAGGGAAGTGAAAGAATTGTCTTCAAAAGCACCTGAAGTGAGAGGGAAAAATAAAAAATATTCAAACTTACTTAGCTTCATGTTCAAACTATTCAATGCCATCTATCCTCTGAGATTACCCAGCTAAAATTGACCTAGATGAAAAAAAAAAATCAAAGGACTTTTTCTTATTCCTTTCTACCACAAAATGCCAAGACATTGACAAAATACTGTGTATGAATGTGTTCCTACAAATACTACACAGAGCTGTTAAAAATGAACACGAATGCACTGCTTCTCCTGCCAGATTTACTAGCTGTATACCTCCATCTTGCTCTTCATTGACTTTTTCCTCTATAGTTAAGCATATGTGTGCATATGTTTTAAAACAGTTTTTCACTAGTAATTTTAAGACTAACAGGAGTGTGTACCTAATAAAAACTTCAAAGAACAGTAACTGAGTAACAGCTGTACAGTTGCCAGTGTCATGTCACCTATATTCAAACACCTGGCTTATAAAGCTAATTCGAAAAATGCAACTTGCTCTGAAAGAAAGCGTTAGATAGACCTTGGTTTTCCGCACATGTACAAAAAAGAGAACACGAGATACCTGTTACACCTAGTGGTAAACAGGGCACTTCATCCTCCTCCCCCTCCTCCTCTTCCGCTTCTTTCTCTCCAGAATCCTGCTCATCTCCATCTTCTACCCCCACAGATTCATCTTCTTCACTTTTTGCTTTTTTAGCTTGTGCATCTAGAGCGTCATTTTACAGAAGACAAGTCAGTTAGAGATATGAAGGACATGTTCCTCATTAACAGTTGTTCCACAGAGTGATTTTCTTTAGTCTGTAATCCACGTACAAACATCATGCTTTTTTCATGGGGTGGGAGCGGGGGGCAGGAGAAGGGGAGGCAAGGTTTCTGTGGAACTTTCTGAAGCAGAGAGCAAAAAATTCAGAAGTTCCTTACACACAGTCCGCTTTGCACCGTACAGCAGCGAAGCTTAATGTATACTATATGAAATTTTCTGTGGAAATGAGGAACAAGTTACAAAATTCTTTCCTATCTGTAATGCAGGCATCAAGTTTCCAAGGCAGTTTGTGCTCAGGTCATGTGAAATGTAACGTCTGTTCTGTTCTAAGTACCTGAATCCTCAGACAACTGCAAGAAAAGACCTGTTTATTTCCATAACCATGGGAAGTATCACTAAGATCAAACACATAAAAGATGGAAGCTTCAAATAGATATAAAAATATACATGCGTGCACATATATATACATGTACAAAAATCTAGCAATATTTGCAGGATGCAATTTTTTGTGGTAGTTTCCCAGTATACTTTAGTTTCATAATATACAGATGTTGCCAAAGGCTGGATGCGTTGCTAAAAAGATGTGGTGACTGGACGTTCAGAAACCATCTATTTGTCAAAGCTCTACTTTGAAAAACAGTATAGGTATTTGTATAAAAAACAAGCAAAACGTCGAAACTTAATGTTAGAAAGCAGAATCCTATGCAACAATTAAATTAGTTGCTATGGGTTTAGTACATATCAGGGTTCAACTGTTGCAGGTGGAATAAGGAAACAGGTAACACGGAAGGCCTCCAGGGCTTTAAAAGGTACCCCAGACCAACACACGGTACTTCTCCCAGTCCAGCCCACAAATCCCCTCCGACAGGGCGGAGAAGGGCAGCAGGCGCTTGGCGGGCTCTCCGAGACCCACTCAGCCCTGGGAGACGCGCTGTGTTTGTTGAGATAACGTACCGCCACCCGCATTCGCCACCGCTTTCCTCTTCTTCTTCTTCCTCCTCTTCTCCTCCCCGCCGCGGGGGCCGGCAGCATCTGCGGCCTCCGAGGCCGCTCCGGCCGCCGCCGCCTCTACCTCGGGGGCCGCCTCCGCCTCCTCCTCCGGGGGGCCCTGCGATGCCGCCTCGCCCGGCGCAGGCACTGCACGGCGCGGAGACACGTTTCAGAGAGAAAGGGGGGAAAAAAACCCACAAAGTCAGAAACGGCTGCGCAAGCGCTCGGTGGGGGAGAGGGTCCGCATCGGCCGCCCGCCCGGCCCCGGCCCGGCCCGGCCCGGCCGTACCTGCCCCCTCGGCCGCCCGCAGCTTCAGGTTGCGCTGCCGCAGCTTCAGGTTGCGCTTGTGGATCTTCCTGCGGAGCAGCCGCATGGGCAGGTTGCCCGCGGCTACCCACAC